GGACCCGGACCCGGACCCAGAACCAGGCGCGCGCAGGGCATCTCCGCGGAGCCGCAGACCTTCAGGTCCTTCCAGGACTTAAAGAGCGAAGCTTTGCGCAAACACCCCAAGTCGGACAGGTAAGAGCCCTTCATTTACTATCTATAGACGTGTGTTCTTTGCATTGGTGTCAAAACCAGGCTGTGGACGGTTTCTGTCCGAATCGAGTCTCTGTTACCCGGCGGTGTGACTATACTACTGCACTATACAAGAGTACATGGTAACACTTTATATTAAGGTGCTGTAGTTACCATGTTATATGTATTTACTATAGAAATAACAGCAAATTATGCATAATTACAAGTGACTAACCATAAACTAACCATTAACACTATAATAAGTACATAGTTAAATAGCAATTACATGTGTAATTGCACTGTATCAATGTCAATGTATTTAACTATACTATACTATACTATATGACAAATTATACTACTATACTATGCAAAACTAAATATACACAAAACTATGCTACAAAGGTATATGCAAAAATGTATTATAACATTGTAGAACACTACTATACTGCACTATACAGCTAATTATACTACTATACTATGCTGTACTATACTATGCTATGCTATGCTATACTATACTATACTATACAGCTAATTATACTACTATACTATGTTGTACTATTCTATGCTATGCTATGCTATGCTATTCTGTTCTATTCGCTCTAATTTATTTAAAATTAAAAAGCAAAACACCTTGCTATGTGTTTTGTGCTAGACTAACTGAGTTTTGTCACAGCACTTGTATACTGTTGGTCTGATTGCTTCTGTTGTTCTCATTTGTAAGTCGCTTTGGATAAAAGCATCTGCTAAATGATCAAATGTAAATGTAATGCAATGTAACACGCAGCTCTTCTCATGACATGAAATCTGTACTGTATGGTTATTGTGACTTTCTGTAATTGTTCTGCTATATCTACAGTTGTTCTCTGATTGTAATGAGCATGATTATGCTTTCTGATCTTAGACATTCAGCTCAGTGTCAGACAGAATCTGCCGGCCTGTCTTTGCCGTGGAGTGTGTTTGAGGGATCGTCTGCGTGTGAAGACCAGCGGCTACAACACCAGCCTCACCGTGAGCTCAATGTCACATCTCTAACATTTTGGGGAATATGTAGACGACTCATTGCCGAGGCTGATTTCATAGCTAGCATTGTACATATCCCAAACACACAACAATTAGAAATATATGTTTTCACACTTTTTGAATAATTTGACATTACAAGTTGTTGTAAATGATGAACACAAAAACATTTTCTTCATGCATTTGAATGCAAGTTGCAATTTTGCACAAGTTGTCTTTAACTGTAAGCAGTCTCCGTTGTTGAGAAGCCTGAATGTTAATGCACACGCCAGACTCTTTATTTCCGCCTCTGCTTGTGTCTGTTCTTCAGGCCGGTCAGATGCTCATGATCCAGCTCTACAGACAGCGATGACTGAGGCGGCGCTCTCGTACGGAGCAGGGACGGACCGCAGGGACGGAGGGTCTCAGGGCCATTTCTACAGCGCTCCCGTGTTCGTCACGGTGCCCTGCCAGTGGGACGGCCCGAGCAGAGCAGACAGAAGCCTGATCGGATAACCCAGTCTTTATCAGCCTTACACTCTAAACATGTTGTGCCAGGAAATCTAATTCATCAAATAACATCACCACCACCAACAATAATACTAAATTAAAATCAAATAAATTAATTAATTGAAATGGTCAGGTCAGCTAGAAATAGCTCCTTATGATAACAATATGTTTACAGGTCAGATTTATTACATTATACGTTAATCAAAATAAAGGCTCTGTGTTCTGTGAACTGTAACTGTTCATGTTCATGCTTACGTTAATGCTTTCCGACTACCATGCACATTTTTGTTCTGATATTGATAATAGAAGATGTTTAGAAGATGTATTAAAATACGCATATGGATTGATTTAGGCATGGAGCATTTTGATATAGCATTGCCATTATTTTTGTTTAAATATAAATATGTTTCAAAGACATGTAATCACAATTACATAATAACACTAAAACTGAACAATACATTTTATGTGTTTTCTCCCTTCTTTTTACTCATGCAAGAATCTTGCAATAGCAGTAAAATACTGTGGTAAATGACCGTGGTATTCATGCAGCTCAAAGCATTGTGGTATTTCCAGCTGATAATACCACTGTGCCGTGATATCAGTAGCAATGCTGAGGCATGAAAGACACAATTCAAGAATATAAAACTATGTTACGCTGTTATGCAGTACAAGAGGAAAATGGTCTGATGAATAAACTCCAAGCCCCATGATGCATCACTCCAGTGTCTGTGTCAGTGCGCTAGTGTAAGGAGAATCTGATTCATTTAGCGAATCGGCTCGTTTGGGCGTTTCGTTTCAATACAATTATTCACCACGTTACATAAATATTTTGCTAAATATCGATATCTTTTTTTTTATAAGAGACCTGTTGCGTGTAATGTGCGTTGTTTGTGGGTCCACCTAACAATTTTACTTTAAACCACTACAATGTTCTTTCAGTCGAGTGATTCATTCGCTCAGTCAGAACCATTCAAAAGAATTGATCCACATGAATGATCCGTTCTGGAGTCGGACATCGCCACAGCGCGTGCGGATGCGCGGAGACGGAGGAGGAGGCAGCGGCTGTGAGAGGACAGAGATGCGGATTATGAAGGGTTGAGCATCAAATAATCAAAGCGCAAAGACGAGGACGTCTAATGGACGAGCACATCTCAATGGCACACATTCACCGACAGGACTCTTCCCATCTGCATCTAGATCGATAGAATGATCATCTCATTATAACAGCTCATTTCTTAAAGAGCGTGCGGGAAGCTTTTGCAACAGGACATCGACTACTGTATTTCCATATAGTAATTCTCATAAACTAGAGCGAGGAATGCGGAACACGGGGATGATTGTGGATGCGGAGGATGGAGAAAGCGAAGCATCATAAACGTGATCCTGAAGGGATTCGCCTCTGCGCATTCTGTGCGTCCTGACGCGCTAACATCCTCGCAGATCCGCGTTCTGTAGAAACACAGCGATCCGGAGGCGTTGGAAGATGAGGCTCCCGCGTCTGCTTCTGTGCTCGTGGGCTTTCGTGGCCCTTCTGTCGGTCACCTCCTCAGTGCTGCTCCGCGTCCCCCTGCGGCAGGGGCCCCTCTCACAGCCCGCGGCCCCCCGGGGCCCCTCGAGGTCACGTAGAGCAGCTAGTGGCATGAATGTTGTAAACATGATCGACAACCTTCGCGGAAAGTCAGGCCAAGGGTATTACATTGAAATGGCCGTGGGTGCACCAGCTCAGAAGGTGAGACGCAGTCAGAGTCAGTGCTGACCCAATCTGTTTCTGCAGTATATGGATAGCTGATGTCGTTTAAGGGCATTCACATTTTCGATCATATTTTGTCTTAACATTATCTATTCAGATTTGTATTTATTTATTTAACAATTTCAATTGCAGAAATTGTCTTGCAGCACAATGTAGCCTACGTTAAAATACAGAAACGTATCCAAAATAATGGACAGAAATATATTTAAAACATTTAGGATTTATTTAATTTAGAACCTGTTTACAAAAAACGACTGAGAGAGAATTTATATATTACCTTAAATAAAGAAAAAATAGATCAATAAAAAATAGTATAGTATTTTATTTTTTTTCATTATTTTCTGCTTTGTTTAGATCTTTGTGCGTTATGGAAATATTGCATATTGTATACTGTATGGGATTTGTAGTGTGGGGCGGTTCAGTTTTCATAGCTCCTGTGCGATCATGCTGTCTCACTGTTGTCTACTACATATACACTACTACAGACCTACCTGACACCTTTTTGCTATAAGAAACATATATGTACAAATAATAATCGTCCTATTAAAACGTTTTCTCATTTATGCATTTCTGGGAATGGAACCCATGACCTCGGCGTTGCTAGTGCTGTGCTTTAGCCACAGGAAAACTTGATCTAAATTCTGACAAAGTGAGAAAATCACACTTTTTTCAGGCAGCGGCAGATCTCTGCTGAGCATATGCTGAGCTAGTATTACAATTGTCTCTTGTCTAGTGCTTCATACACAAGCTTAAAATGATGTGGAAGGAAATGAATGAGTGTTTTTGCACAGCAAACATCTTTAGCTGACTGCTGTCACATGTTCACTTCTGCGGGTCAGTGAGGTCACATGATGTATGAGGAAGAGGAAGGCCTGTGGCGTAGGGGTCGCTGGAGGAAGCGCGTGCACAGGGACGAGGTTAAGAGCGGTCTCTGAGATGCAGGATACAGATTCAGGGAGCAGAAATAACAGCAAGCCCACAGGACTAATCAATGACACGAGGAGTCCGCTCGATTCCTCCTACACCAGAGACAGAGAGCAGAGGAATAGACAGACAGGTGAAGAGAAGGAGAAGCGCGTTATCAAAAGCACTGTTGAATCTAAAGCATTTGTCTAACAGCTTTCATATGGAGAGGTACGACTCAGTAAAGTCTTGGTGTAGCTCTGTGAATCTCTATATAATATGAGATTCAGTCAACCTGCTCTCAGCATCAGCTGTTAAAAAAGCCTCCATTAGCTGATGTTAAGAGCAGAGCGACTGATGGCATTATTATAGAGTCTAACGAAGGCAAGTGACAGAGTTAACTCTCCAAATATTCATTATCCGTTATCAAAGCTGCCGGTTAGACTCTGAAATGGTCATTGTGTGGACACAGTAACTGTCTGATCTCTGATTAGCCTGTCTGTCTGCTAAAACGTGCTCGAGATCTCAGCAGTCCAAAGATGTCTGGCAGGTTTGTGTCGTTCTCAGGTTTCCTCGTCTCTCTCCCTCTGCTCAGTCAGGGAGTCTAACGCTGAGAGGCTGATCAGTCGTGCATCTCATTCTTAAATACCCCTTCACAAACACACAAACACCCAGCAGGTCACTGAGCAATAGTCAGCTGAACACCGGAGCCACATCTAGAGACTTGAGGGTGGGCTCGCGACCATAATGCATTACGATGCCCCAGAAACACGCCCTGTCAACAGCGAGCACCACTCATGATATCTGCAGTTATTCATTTTCTGTGATCGCAGACACACCTGAAGGTACAGTGTGTTCCCTTTGTGTTCCAGCTGAACATCCTGGTGGATACGGGCAGCAGTAACTTTGCAGTAGGCGCAGCTGCTCACCCGTTCCTCCACAGATATTACCATCGGTCTCTGTGAGTACTACTAACTATTCACACACAGATGGGACATAATGTATGTTACATATCAACAAGCTGTACCACAAACTTCTCAAGAGTCATTGTGCGTGTGTGTCGACAGCTCGTCGTCGTACAGAGATCTGGGCCGCGGCGTGTATGTGCCGTACACACAGGGCCGCTGGGAGGGCGAGCTGGGCACGGACCTGGTGTCCATTCCTCACGGGCCCAACGTGTCTCTGAGGGCCAACATCGCTGCAATCACCCAGTCTGACCGCTTCTTCATCAACGGATCTAACTGGGAGGGCATCCTCGGGCTGGCCTACGCCGAGATCGCCAGGGTGATCTTTCTGTAGCTGTCATAACCTCACAGAGCTTGATGAAGAGGCGCTTCTGACCGGGTTCTGTGTCTTTCAGCCGGACGAGACTCTGGAGCCGTTCTTCGACTCTCTGTTGAGGCAGACCAGTGTCCCAGACGTCTTCTCCCTGCAGCTCTGCGGCGCGGGCTTCACACAGAACTACAGCGCCGGCAGCTCCACTGTAGGGGGCAGTATGGTGAGAGAACAGGGGAAAATGGGGAAAGTAGAGGATTTCCATGCCAGAAACGGTTAACTGACCCTGACGTTCTATCATTAACTCTTCTCTGGAACACAAAGAGAGATGTTTTGCATATTTTCCCACATGCTCTGAATGAGAATCAGACTGCCGAGCCCTGAAAAGACAAGAATACGCTGATAAAAATATCATAGAAATAGCCCATATATTATTTGTGTGCTTCTGAAGTCATAGGATAACTGTGTGAGGAACAGACCAAAACTGCAGCTGTATGAAATATTTTTACTTTTTTCTTTTCTTTTTTTTGTAGATTTTATGGCCTTCATCCTTTTTGGAGCTTGTCGGCATGAACGTTGTGCTTAACATCTCCTTTGTGTTCGAGTAAACAATAACAGTATTTTAATTTTTTAATTAATTAACCCTTCCCATTAGTAAATCACATACTTACACTGAAAACATTTGGCAGTGAAAAATAAAAATGGTAAGAAACAATAAAATTGTATTTTCTTGTAAAACAGTCCAATAATATATATATATATATATATTTTTTTTTTACAGTGTACCATGTGTAGTTAAAGAACTTTATGTAACATGAAACAGAACAACTTCAGTGGCATACTATGAAAGATTGTGTTGGTTCTTCACAGATTATTGGGGGAATCGATCCGTCTCTGTGTGTTGGCGAGCTGTGGTACACACCAATCAGACGGGAGTGGTATTATGAGGTCATCATCGTGCGCATCGAGGTCAACGGACAGGATCTCAACATGGACTGCAAAGAAGTGAGAACAACTCTCCTGGGTTTGCCTCGAAGCATTTATTACTTTTGAGAAAACTGACTTCACAGATGCGTGTTCAGTATCTTCAAGCACATGCAGTTTGATGCGTCACGGGCTGCTTCCTAAAAATACCAAGCTGTTGCTGTTTTCACATGCCTTTAAATAGAGATTTTATTGATTTACTCATGACTCAAATCCAGACAATCTTAAAATATGAAAATCCATTAACTATTATTACATTTGTAAAACTATGACCTAAACAAAGACTACAAGGAAGATAAATCATTTCATAATTATTGTATTTTTTCCCCAGTTTAAATTACATCTGGTCCAAATATTAGTCAAGACTTGATCAAGATGCTGTGACATCATTTTAAATTCAGTTTGGACGGCGATATCTTCCAGGGGCCACTGGGTGGAAACAGCAAGCTAATCTCACACTGAAACTGGTTTAATGTACATGTGGGCCACATTTACATCACACCAACTTCATGCCAAGTTTTTGACGTCAGTTTGATTTGCACATTTGACCTGTTTTTTTAGGTAAATTTTGATGTCAATTTGATGTCTTTTCAACATCAATTGCCCACTGGGTTGTTAGAAGACCTGAATTGAATTGGATTGAATTGGATAAGCTAGTAGGTGTGTGAAAAGTGCATCTTAAACTAGTCTATTTCAAAATGTCCATAAAGCCAAAACTACATACAGTTGAAGAAACATTTATGTATTTTCTCTTTGTACTTTTCCAGTTGAGTTAGGGTTAGGGTTAGGGTTAGGGTTAGGGTTAAAGTATAACCCTTTTCCAGTTGAACAGTTTTTATTGATTAAAGCTTCTCATTGTTTCTCTCTGTCTCTCAGTATAACTATGATAAAAGTATCGTGGACAGCGGCACCACAAACCTGCGTCTCCCTCGTAAAGTGTTCCAGGCGGCTGTGAAGGCCATTGAAGCGGCTTCATCGGTCGGTGTATATCGTCTGTGTTGGGCTCAGTTTTGAACATGATGAAAGTTCTGGGTTTTCTGGCTCATCTGGCTCTTTTCCCCACAGACTGAACAGTTTCCGTCAGGTTTCTGGCTGGGCGAGCAGCTGGTGTGTTGGCAGGCGGGCAGCACACCCTGGCACATCTTCCCTGTCATCTCTCTCTACCTGATGAGTGAAAACACAAACCAGTCTTTCCGCATCTCCATCCTGCCACAGGTACTTCATTCTGCCATCTGAGTGATGTGACTAAAACCAGTTTAATACGCATGTGGAAATGTCTATAAGTTCATCTAATGAGTGAAATACTTGAAATGAAAGTTACTTGTTATTTAATGCACTTTTTGTTTGGACATTGAAAATAAATTCAATATAAATATACATTCACTTTTATATGCTAGCCTGCCAAACATGAACACGAAACTGTCTGCCCGTAACACTGTATCCCACAGTTCAATGCAGTTCTCTCACATTTACCAGTTACAATCAGGAGCGGGATCTCGTTTCTGTACCACCAGACATGATGCTGTCTCTATTCCCTCGAAGGATGAGTTTTGTCCGTTACTCCCTGAAACAAAACATGAGCAATATATCCACATCCAAAAGAGCGAACTTCAACTCGACTTAAAAACTTATGAAGAGTTACTAATGTCAGTGTCAGCTTGCATGTTGAAGGGATAGTTCACCCAAAAATGAAAATTGCATCATAATATACTCACCTTCAAGTTGTTCAAAACATTCTTCAAAAGAAGATTTTGAAGAAAGTTGGTAACCATACAGTTAATTATAGCCATTGACTATTTTTTCTTGACTCATCATCCATCACGTGTTTGGTTACCCACATTCTTATTTTCATTTTTGGGTGAACTATAACTTTAATAGATGTCGTAAGAGACTTTTACTTTTAAAAATTGTGAAGTCAAATAATCCTTGAAACCACAAAATCATATGGTTAAACCAACAAATAGCAAGAGCAAGGAAAAATAAGTAAATGATTAAATGACATGTGATGAATGATTATAAATGTCTAAAAATGAATAACAAAAACATCAAGACAATAAAACTAAACAGATGTGTGGTACACTCACATATTAGACAGATAGGATCCTGATCCTCAGATCCTTCACCCACACTGAGAGCATGAGCAGCAGTAGAGAGTGAATACATGGTAAATGTTTTTGGTGAGCAGATGCTCCTACTGTTTTTGCTGTATTTTGGATCAAATAACTGCAGGCTTGGTGAGCAGAAGAGAATTCTTTAAGAAACATTAAAAATCTTACTGTTCAAACACTTCTGACTGGTATGTTAGCCTATAGTTTGAATTAAAACATATTAATATTAATAAGGAGAGTCTGAGATTTATTTGACAGTGATTTCACATTTCTTGTTTGTATGAAGGCTAAATACCAATAAAAGGTGAACATTTATTTATTTGCGCCATTTTTTTCCTAAAATATTATATAGTTTTATAGAGTTGGCAAATTAATTTTTCATAAGTTTGTAGGTACAGACATCTGTTGTGGCCGTTCTTGGCCGTTTTTATGAGGCTTTTTAAAAAGTGTTCATATCGATATCGGAATTATATCGTATCGACCGAAATTAAGAAATATATCGTGATATAAATTTAGGCCGTATCGTCCAGCCCTACTCTGTACTTTTGACGTGTTGTGTCGCGGCGCTCGCGTCAGGTGTAGAGAGGGTGTTATAGCTCGGGATCTGTGAATGATCATAATTTGTGTATATTCCTGAGGTTATCCTGATGGAAATATAAATATAAAGAAGCCTTAAACGCCGATAATCTTTTGGACACATGGTGTTTCATCCACACAAACAGCACTTCAGCTCAATTTGAACAAAGGGCCACGTTTCTTTCAGAGGAGCAAGTCATGATTAGTTATAGTGAGACTTGTACTTTTTGGGGCCACTGTATTTAATGTGGTTTAATAATCATTGGAATTAATGTTGTGTTTCATCTGCAAGAACACCAGTAATAAATACAGAGTCATATTACATTCTGGAGTTAGGCTGTTTGTTCAGAGGCTTAGCAAGATAACTGGGACACTCATTAATTCTCATTACTACAATGCAAAAACATTACCCAAACCCTAACAACAACAAAACATTAATGTCATGCAGATTAAAATACACAGACTGCATCACAGTAATGAGAAATCATCATTGAGATTCATAAATGAGATGTCACCTACCTTATTGTTTGTTAATTCTGCGCTGTAGTCCACGATGAGTTCCGCACCGCTGCAGTGGAGGGGCCGTTCCATGGCGTGGACCTTGAGGACTGTGGCTACAACGTCCCTCAGACCGACGAGTCCACATTAATGACCATCGCCTACATTATGGCGGGCATCTGTGCACTATTTATGCTGCCTCTGTGCCTCATGGTCTGTCAGTGGCGCTTCACGCGCTGCCTTCATCCGCTGGGCGCTGGAGATTTCTCTGATGACTTATCCCTCCTAAAGTGAGCCATATCTAAACGCAGAATGATTTCAGTGCTTGTAAAACCGGCCGTCCTCGAGGGTCTCAAAGAAGGGGAATTGATGATATTGATGAGACTTCAGTGATTATAACTATATATGTTATAATATTGCATATGCACACACACACACACACACACACACACCCTAATGGGTGTCCCACCTTGGAGGACATTGATATGTGAATGATCCTTTATCTTACAGCCTTAAGTGTGGATAGCTGTTCTGGGACTGTTCAAGTGAAGTTCTGTAAAGTTCTGTATACTATGTGAGCGAGTGTGTCTGTGTTTGAAAGTTAGAGAGAGTTTGTTCACTATATCAAGATGTCATAATCTATAATATGATCAACACTGACTCATTTTCAAAGTGAATATGGGGTATAACAAAGTACTGTTTGAGTCACTGTTTATGATATAGCAGTACCCAAAAATACCATAAGAATACTCATATTACTATTACTTACTAAGACAACATGATCTTCTGACTGTATTAGTTGAAAGCTTACAGTTAATAGACCTATATGATTTGTAATAATGAATGTCAGTGGGAGAGAACATGTCCAGTCATATTTTACCCCAAAATGTAATTTAAACGTATTTTTCTTTATTTTCATGGCAATTGTAGTAACATTTTCATTAAATGTTCATTACCTCAATGCAAATTAATAAATAATAATATTATTATATATTTAGTATATGATTTAAACCGTTTTAATTTATGCAGTGATCTTAAAATAGGATTAATTTTCTTTATGCAAATAAAAAAGTAATTGCAAATGAAAAAAATTAAATAATATATATATTATCGATATCGATTTTGTGGTCAGATGTTACCTGGACACGTTTTCTAGAGATTTACTCTAGAACAGTAATATCTCAATTACGTAACAAACAAATATTCATCAGCTTTTGTGTCATTTCTCTGGACACATACTGTATGTAATGATGACTTCATATTGCCAATATGATTGCACACACACACAACCCAATAATAAATGCACCTACACAATTGCTGTCTATCATTTTGCATATAATAACTCACATTAGGAAAAGCACACACTCTCATACATCATTTTAACCAATCCTTCAGATTAAGCCAGAACAAAACATGTCTACACTGAAAGATCTGCAAAACAGGTTCCTACTGCTAACAAACTTCATGTATTAATGAAAATCCAAATTGGCAGCTCTTACATTTAATAAAGTGCATAAAACACCAATGTGTGTATTTCTTGGCGAGTATGTGATTGTTTATTGTATATTGTTTATTTGGATCCCCATAAGCTTCCACAAAGTGGTTGCTAATCTTCCTGGGGTCCACAAATCTGTACAAAATAACTAAAATCGTACAAATAATTAAAATAAGAACAAAAATAAAATTACACTAATCACATCACAAAACTATACCTATACACCTTAGCAGTAGCAGCACATAACACATACATATTTATAAGCATATCTTCACATTTTCTTCTAAACGCATATGTGCAATTACTCTTTCGTATATTTATGGGAACCATATTCCAAGCAAATTCTGAGTCTTTTTCATCAAAGTTGTTTGTGGACATAGTTAAGAGAGTTGAGCCTTACTTACTTGACGTGTTAATCATGCCTAAAACCCACATATACAAGCTTTTCAAAGAAAAAAATATGGTCTATGATGCTTGATTACCTTATATTTATGCTGCCTCTGTGCCTCATGGTCTGTCAGTGGCGCTTCACGCGCTGCCTTCATCCGCTGGGCGCTGGAGATTTCTCTGATGACTTATCCCTCCTAAAGTGAGCCATATCTAAACGCAGAATGATTTCAGTGCTTGTAAAACCGGCCGTCCTCGAGGGTCTCAAAGAAGGGGAATTGATGATATTGATGAGACTTCAGTGATTATAACTATATATGTTATAATATTGCATATGCACACACACACACACACACACACACACCCTAATGGGTGTCCCACCTTGGAGGACATTGATATGTGAATGATCCTTTATCTTACAGCCTTAAGTGTGGATAGCTGTTCTGGGACTGTTCAAGTGAAGTTCTGTAAAGTTCTGTATACTATGTGAGCGAGTGTGTCTGTGTTTGAAAGTTAGAGAGAGTTTGTTCACTATATCAAGATGTCATAATCTATAATATGATCAACACTGACTCATTTTCAAAGTGAATATGGGGTATAACAAAGTACTGTTTGAGTCACTGTTTATGATATAGCAGTACCCAAAAATACCATAAGAATACTCATATTACTATTACTTACTAAGACAACATGATCTTCTGACTGTATTAGTTGAAAGCTTACAGTTAATAGACCTATATGATTTGTAATAATGAATGTCAGTGGGAGAGAACATGTCCAGTCATATTTTACCCCAAAATGTAATTTAAACGTATTTTTCTTTATTTTCATGGCAATTGTAGTAACATTTTCATTAAATGTTCATTACCTCAATGCAAATTAATAAATAATAATATTATTATATATTTAGTATATGATTTAAACCGTTTTAATTTATGCAGTGATCTTAAAATAGGATTAATTTTCTTTATGCAAATAAAAAAGTAATTGCAAATGAAAAAAATTAAATAATATATATATTATCGATATCGATTTTGTGGTCAGATGTTACCTGGACACGTTTTCTAGAGATTTACTCTAGAACAGTAATATCTCAATTACGTAACAAACAAATATTCATCAGCTTTTGTGTCATTTCTCTGGACACATACTGTATGTAATGATGACTTCATATTGCCAATATGATTGCACACACACACAACCCAATAATAAATGCACCTACACAATTGCTGTCTATCATTTTGCATATAATAACTCACATTAGGAAAAGCACACACTCTCATACATCATTTTAACCAATCCTTCAGATTAAGCCAGAACAAAACATGTCTACACTGAAAGATCTGCAAAACAGGTTCCTACTGCTAACAAACTTCATGTATTAATGAAAATCCAAATTGGCAGCTCTTACATTTAATAAAGTGCATAAAACACCAATGTGTGTATTTCTTGGCGAGTATGTGATTGTTTATTGTATATTGTTTATTTGGATCCCCATAAGCTTCCACAAAGTGGTTGCTAATCTTCCTGGGGTCCACAAATCTGTACAAAATAACTAAAATCGTACAAATAATTAAAATAAGAACAAAAATAAAATTACACTAATCACATCACAAAACTATACCTATACACCTTAGCAGTAGCAGCACATAACACATACATATTTATAAGCATATCTTCACATTTTCTTCTAAACGCATATGTGCAATTACTCTTTCGTATATTTATGGGAACCATATTCCAAGCAAATTCTGAGTCTTTTTCATCAAAGTTGTTTGTGGACATAGTTAAGAGAGTTGAGCCTTACTTACTTGACGTGTTAATCATGCCTAAAACCCACATATACAAGCTTTTCAAAGAAAAAAATATGGTCTATGATGCTTGATTACCTTATGAAAATATACCAGCAGTCTTTTCTCAGATGCACTTGACCATATCATTGGGCAGTACTCAAGATGCGATAAAACTAATGACTGCACCACATCTTTTAAAACTAAAGATGGAATAAATGCAGAACATTTCCTAGCCACAGCTATACCTTTTCCCATAATGCTTACTATATGATCGGACCAGGACAGCGTATTGTACCAGTGTAACCCCTCTGGTCCTAACCGCCCCACCTCATTCTTGTTCTGAGTGGGACTCGAACCCGGGTCACTGGCATGGGACAAGCAGCCTCTAGCATCAGTCGCTAGTGCACCTCTTGAGATCAGGGGAGTGAGGTTTACGTGCACAGCACCTTCTTGCTGGCCTCTGTTACACCAGGACAGCGTATTGTAAAGTTTCACATCCAACAACTTAACATTTGTTACTTGTTCCACTGGCATCCCATCAATAAATAAATTCAAGTCAACAGCCTTAGTAATATTATTATTATGACTAAAAATTATACATTTAGTTTTTTCTATATTTAAAATGAATCTATTAATTCGAACCCACATCCATCAACCTCAGTTTACAGTCATTAATTTGGTATGATGAAACAAAGAAAAACGGTGTAGTGTTATTCCATGCATTTAATAATTTAAAGGGGAGTGCAAAATCCTATGTGCAGCACTACAGAATCCGACCATCTATTTTGTGAAAGAAATGCAAGAATAGAATACAAACAACATATCACATTACACAGCATTAGAATTAAACAAGGGTATACATATTGATTCAAGTAAAGACTGTACAAATTAAACAGTAAGTGTTTGCACTGTTTTCATGCACTTGTTTTACTTCCCAGAACAATCAAGTATTAGATCAAATTGAAGTTGTTCAAATAAAGTCATATTTCATGCCCAAAGTTGATTAATCAGAAATAACTGGTTTGGTCAAGCTTTCCAGGTGTGAGTTCAGTGATTGTAAAGCATTATATTGTAGACAAGATTGGAGATTAACATGCCACAACAATAACAATCGTCACTGGGCTGGTTCTCAAAAAGGCAAGTAGAGGAATGGCAGCACCCCAGGAGGGATGAAGACTCTCTTTACAGGTCAGGTCTACTCGAAAACTTGTCCAATGATCCACAAAACCTATATTATTCTGCGGGCACTACTTTGTCATCCAGCCATTTAGTGATGACAGTCTGCTGTCCCAGATAGCATGTTGACATTGATACAAAGTTGAGTTTTGTCCAAACCATCATTTTGTTTGAGATTGACATATCAATGTTTGATCAGTATGTTGGATCAGCATTGAAATTTTGATGAAAGTCGAAAGCACACACGGGTAAAGACAGTGGGCCTCATTTACAAAACGAACGTACGACAGAAAATTGGGCATAAGGTCGTTTCAACGCAAAACGTGGAATTTATCAATATGGACGTGAGCGGTGGCTACGATCAAATCTCACGTCTGGTCTCAGCTCGTGTACGCACGTTTTTGAGTTACCTGAACTTGCGCAGAGCATAGTAAATACGGTGG